AAGAGCTGAACTGAGTAATTCCACTGTGGATTCAATGGGTTTTGTTGAGAACAATGTTTACATCATATTATACCACTGGCTGTCTCCTTTAAGAGTTATTTAATGAAGATACTTAAGAAAAAATGTCTCAGAATTGTGTACTAGATGCTTTATAGTGTAGACACAATTTATATGGTAACTGATTGTCATGTGTATTTACTTATTTCTTCTGGAATCTAAATTCACCCTTCATCGCCTGTTCTGAAAAAGTACATCTGGGCCCTTTAAATATGTTTCCTTTGCTAGTGGCAAGTGTTAAGCCTTTTTGGCAGGTTGACATTGCAGGAAGAAAGATTTCACTCTCTGATTCTCACATGTTCTCTCCACAGGCTCCAGCAGGTCACATGACTTTTTCAGTGACTACCTCCTCTGGGACAGGTGATGTCTTCAGGTCCAGACTTTGAGCCCATGTAACTCCTCAGTAGCAAGAAGGATCCAGAAGCCCAAGGCTCCCCCTTTGTCTCTTTGAATGTCATCTGATGAGACATGGTGGCATACACAGCTTTCCTGGGCAACCTGATGAGACATTTTGGGCAACTTTCAAAAAGCAAATACCCAGCAGCACACCAACTTCTCTGTGTGCCAGAGAGGCAGAGCCATGCTGTCCGCATGGTGTCTAGATACTGGGCAGAGAAGGAGGTCTCTTCCTTAGGTACTTTATCTCACCACTACCAGTAACATCTGCTGCTTCTTGTACCTTTCCAGTATTCTTTAGAGTTGTATTTATTATGCAATGCTTTATTATTTAACTCCTAGGTATAGTCAGTAATTCTTTACGGTAAACTATTGCTATTAAAATCACTGTGCTTTTACTCTCTTCAGTGAGCACATATTAAAATAGTAAATTGTTCCTCTTGGGTATTTAGCCACTAGAAAGTCAGTTAACTTGCACGGGTGTTTATGTGTGTGTCCAGTTACGTCCATTCACACACACATGCATTTATAATGTATGGTTTAGTGTGTCTTAAATATTTCCTTTGGAACATGTTTGTATCATTTATAACTTTTTGCTGGAATGAATATTCCAAACATTCTATTTTTTAAATACTTACTATAGCACATGGAATGGTGCAAGTATGAAATTACCAAACAATTAGATCTGAGAAGTCATGCCAAGAATATAAACATCCTGTGGCGTGTATTTAGCCTTGGCCACCAGGCCGGGCAGTGCTGATGATCCAGGAGTGGTTGTTTCAGTCCTGCAGTGGGACTGCTGCGCCACGAGGCTGACTTCATGCGAGTGCTCGGACTCACTTCCGTGGCTTTTTCTAGCGTTTGTTCACGTGCACTCTTATCGCCTGTGTCATGTTGTGCCACCCACTGGCGCTGCCTTGACTTCTGCTCTGCGGCATCTGCTCCATCCAGGAAACCCCACCAGTTATTCTGCCAAGGAAATGGATTTCTCCAAGGTGCTGACCAGAAAACCAGCACCACAGAGTAAAGCCAACTGTCTTCTAGGACATGTCTTATTTCTCCCTGGATGATATTTCCTGGCTAATCCAAAGAAACCAGCTTTCAAAGCAAAGCTTTCTCCTCTACCTTTCTAGCTGTTCACATTTTAGGAAAGGAAGTGCCTAGCAGTTTCTTCAGAGTAAAAACAAATTCTACAATAGCATATTTGGAGGCTCTAAAGTTTGTTCCTCAGAAATGCAATGAGATCACAAAAGCCCTGGATACTTCTACCTGTATGTCATCCATTTAGAACCAAGCACCACCTCGTAATCAAGAACTAGGCCATAAAGCTCAGCATTTTACAGTAACAAAAATGCTCTAACTGAACTCGATTAGATTATTTATGGTCTCTCCCTCAATACAGGGGCATATGATTACTACAAGAGGGAGGAGAGCTAAAATGGCATGAAGAAGTGATCTCATGTTTACTAAGTTCCAAAGACGGTTTTATGACACAGAAAATACAAATTTTATTATTAAAAGTGTTACAGATATCCATGCATACTCACACAAAACACACAACACACAAAAATATATGAATGACTGTTTTCTCTAGGAAATAGGATGAGTGACTTGTATTTGAGTTTTTCTGAAGTCTTCCAACTATACTAAACTTGAATAATTTCCTTATTTAGAAAAAAAATTCACATTATAATTATAAAGACACAGAAGTGGCTGAATTCTGCCAAAATGTTCAAATTCAAGGAAAACTAAAACCTCTCAAACAGATAGGAGCAGAAACGCTTCTTGCTTTGCTTTCTTCGTATTTCTTTTAGAAAGATGTCCTTGACTTAGTTTGATTGCAGATATCAACTTAAGGAGGAAAAAGAAATCCAACAGAATTGAAGTTTTTAGTCTGCTTCAGTTAACCAGTTGTTCAACAGCTTAAGTTCCTAGTAATAAAGTAACAACGGAGATGACTTTATGCAATAAATAAGTCATACACTGAACCAAGAGATGATGAGGAAAATGGAAGTGGGGAGGACAGAGAGAGGGAGGGAGGACATGCACTACATGGGCTATAAGAGTACAAAGGTTCTGAAACAATTTTCTCTGATAGAATATTCCTCCAGAGAGGCAGAGCCTCGTTTACCTAAGGTGAGGTTGCTTCATCTCTAAAGGAGAGATAAAACAGCTATGAAAATGAATATTTGAATGTTGATGTATGTAGCTGACATATAAAAGCAGGTAGACTGTTGTTGATATGGGCTTGTTTTCAGGTTTGAGGAGGTGTTCCTCTCTTTGTTGCTATTTGCTACTTGATTGTCTGCTGGCTTAGAAACTACTCTTAACTTAGCACCTACTATGCAAAACCAGATATTAGGCTAAGAATTTGAATGATTATCATTATTAAATTTAATTTTATTTAAATCAGTTTAACTGTTGAATGTTATTATTGCTACTACTACCACCATTTATCAAGATTTTAAAATATGCCAGACATTTTGATAAACATTTAAGCAACACCAACTCACTACGTATTCTCAAAATTTCCAACAAGACAGGCATTTATATTTCAGAAAAGGAAGCAGAGGACTAGAGAGATTCAATGATGTGATAAATTCACGTGGTCAGCTTTCAAATGAAGATATCTTGAGTCAAGTGTCTTTTCTCTTTCCACCATCCTAAGCTGCTGACTCTCACAGGACTCAGTGCTTTGGGATGGTCTTGAAGTATTCATGCTAGGCACATGATTCCTTAAGCTAAAGGATGTATGGACCATTGACAGAAACAAAAGTTGTCAAAGATTTCAACATCTGGTTGAGCGAACAAAAGGATGAAATACATGGAAGGATTAGGTAGAAAATGTAATCGGATACTACTCTTACTTTCTGTCTTTGGGAGCTGGGATATCAGTGGTTTTGCAATCATTCTAGAGACTGCTTTGTGATGTTAAAAGTAGTTTGATGATTTAGCACCAGAAATTCTGTGCAAATGATGGTGAACACCACTCACTCTACAGAATGAAAGAAAAGTATAAATGTGTCTAAAAATCGGAGATTTGGGTTGAACCTATGGAAAACAATGAAATAAATGATTTAACAATAAAACTAGAATTCTAGAGTCCGCTGTATAAATTTCTGCTGTCTCCTCAGTAGCCATATTCCTTCCATGTCAAGGGGTAATGTATTTGTTCTGTCTCATTTCGCAGGGATTTTAGAGGGTTCCAGTGACATAGTGAGCTTCGCAACATTGCCGAGAGCATTAAACATAGATAATATATAAATTACAGAGAATAACACACATAAAATTATAAATAACTTCTTCAGTGGGGGTCAACTTTGCAAATAACTTTTATTTGAGCTTTTTTTTATTACACAAATAATGTATCTTCATGGCCCAAATTTTTAATGTTACAAAAAACAATAACTTAAAGTTTATATAGTGGCATGCTCAAGTTGCCTTGGGTCAGTTTGCAAGACTCAAATGCAAGCACCTCGTCATAATGACACATTTAGTGATGTTGTGTTATAAACTCTGGCAAATGTCACAAAGCACTACCACTCACTGCCAACATTTCTGAGTGTACCGCTGTCCATAGGAAGAGCTGTGTCCATCTGGAACTTTAAATCAGATTGCTGTCTGTCTGGTAAATAAAAATTGAAGGAGATTCAAGATACGAACTAGATAGTCTGCTTTCAAAATTTACAGCATGATCCTGCAACAGAGAAAATAAACAATGTCTGCATAAACAATGGGAAGACACACTTTATGAGCCCTCATGGCAAAGGACTGCATTGGCTTTGGTCATCCACATTATTTGGGGATGAAATAAAATATGTGTGGCTGGATGGCTCTTTCCTTTTTTCCTTTCTTTCATCCTTTCTTTCTTTCTTTTGAAAGACTTTTAGCCACTGAATACCAATAGTCACAGATCTTTACATGCTTCGCTAGTACCCAAGTTGAACCATTTATGTCTCATTCTTAATGAGAGAATTTCTAGTCTCCGCACTGATGGTTAAGAAGTAGGGTTGCTGGCCTTCCCCTTCAACAGGTGAGTTCGCTGTTCAGGTTCTGAATCCTGTTCAGTTCCAAGACACTGTGTGGATGCAAAATAGGACCAGGGGTGCCACTTCTGCTTGCCTTTCATCCTTTCATTTTATGGAACTATTTCCGGCTGTCACTACCCTATAACATCAGGAATTAATTTTCCAGGGATTTCAGAAGTCCAAGGAGGATATTTGAAACATAAGACTTATTTTCTCCGTACTCACCCATGTTCAGTCCATACATGTAAAACAAAAAAATGACATTTTGTCCACCAGAGGGCACTCATATTGTTCCACGTGTAGAGCTAAGGATGATGGCGCTTAGAGCACAGAGAGCAAAGAACCCCCGTCACTACACCACTCTTCAATGAGTTCCAGACAGAAGAATAAAAATAAGTTTTCTTTATTCTATTTTGTCTCCTCCTACCCCTCACATCTCTCTGCCATACACATGTAAAAATTCTTCTTAAATATAATCATGATTTTATAAAAGAATACGGGGTGGGGTGAGAGATCAGGGTGAAGTTCTGTGTTCCACATTTTCAAAGAGGCAGCTTTGCAAGAGGTATATTTTTCTTTAAAATGTGGTGTGGCGAATGTGAAAGAATGACAAGAAGTTAGTTTTCACACAGTTCTTCTTTGATGCTTTCAGTCGGTGCATCTTAAGCTGTCTTGCTGCCCCAGAGCTGGTGAACTGCGCATTTCACACGGCTGGGCTTCCACCCTGCTCTTGGACCTCTACGCGTCTGAAATGGCAGGAAAACCAGAGGCCACCATGAGACTGCAGTCTAGCGTGCTGACAGCTTTAGCCACAAGTTATTCCAACGTCTCACAAAAGCAAAATAAACTTGTGATTTCTACAGTATGTTGTGTAGCTCATTAGTGGTTTCAGCTAAGTGCTGTTTATTGATCTTAAAGTCCCTCTTTCCTCAACACAAGTAGACTTTCACCTATGTTTTCATTTTTTCCAAACATTCCAACCTTATGAGCCTACAATGTAGACTTTAGTAATTGCTAAAATTAAGCCACTATGTCTGAGGTTAGGCTTCTACTTCACTCCAGCCATGTTACCCTGTCAAACATTTGCTTCAAAATTAGACAGATCAAAAGTCCCACTAAATTATGTGTTTTAGAATTGCTTACCAATTGAAAGTCTCAGTACGTTCTCTGTTTTAGAGGATGCCCTATTAGGCTGCCTTGGAGTGATCTGAAATCTAGCTCTTTGGTATCCCTGCCTTACAAATATACATACACAAGTACTTTATAAAAGGAATAACGAATAAAATCATTTAAGCTTTATGTCCATTTGGGGAATGGTGGGAAAGGAATTACCAACATTCTATGAACATTCATAACCTTGAGCTTTACAGCATAGCCCAGAGTTTCCAGGTACTGGAAAGTTTTGTAGAAAATTGGTGTATTGGCACTGCCATGGCCAAATGCAAAATTAGCCTACCTACCCCAATTCAAATGCAGGTTCAGTTTGTTATCAGTGAAAGGAGATTGACCAATCACGCTGACTTAGTATCAGGTTAGATGGGAAAGAAGCCATGTTATGTGAAGGCAGACTCGGGGAATATTTCTTTAAGCCCTGCCAAGAGGGAGAAATAAGGTTTTATTATATTTGCGCAGTTTTTACATAATTTCTCCATGTTAGAGAATTGGCTAGTTTGTTGTTGAATGGTGCCTACTGAGCTTAGATGGTCAATTTTAGAAGTATGCATATACTGGTCAGAAGCCTTCAAAATAAAGTCCATTATTAGAGGGGCTTTAAGGTGAGGAGGATTAAGCTGGAAAGAATTACCTCTTTCCTAGGTACATGAAAGAACATGCACAAAGAGTTCTATAATTCAGAATTAACATGCAAAACACAGAACCTACCAGAATTACTGTTTAATGTAGGTAAAAAATAAGAAACAGCAATAAAATGTAAAACAGCCATCGTAAGTAGATTTTTATGAATTCTTCTCAGGAATGTGACAGCTGGCAATTGATTTTTTGGTGAATATGTCAACTTAAAGTTTAGAATCATTTATTTCTGATAAGGAATTATGAGGTGATACACTTAAATTACCATGAGATATATAACAACTCCATTATAGATTAGATGAAACTTCATTATATGACTAGATGAAAAAAAAAAAACACTAACTAGGTCTCTACACTTACTAAATAATAATGGAAGTAAGATAATAATTCCACATCTCACGTCCCTTGCCCTTTTCTTCAATCCTCCCAGAAGCACCTTTCTTTTAGCACCTCGTTAGCACCTTTCTTTTGTCAGATCTCAATTCAATTATCATTTCCTGGGGGAGACAGCCCTTCAAACACCTCCTTGATTAGGTCAAATCCCCTTCCATATGCTTTCAAAGTACTATGGTGTCTCCTTGCAGGAGGTAGCACAGTTGTGGTTTTGTACTTATTTCTGTAGTTCTTGGATAAATATCTACCTTCACTAATATTTAAGCTCCACAACAATACAGACCCTAGCTAGTTTTATTGTTCTGTAGTCACCAATATCTAGTATAATGCCTACCATGTATAAAGTACACAAAGTCTGTTCATTTATGGAATTATGGATAAATGACCAAGTGAGTCAATGATGAGATTAATACACTATTACAAAGAAGTTAGCTAACCAAGAAAAGCCAACCCAAGACATCAGAGCCATTTAGTGACAGAACTGGGTATGACTCAATTCTTTGCCATACTTTCTTTTCTCAATGTGTTTTATTATAAAAACTGAGAGCCAATGCACAATGCTTCAAATTAATGAGACAAAAAGTGTAAAGAAACTAATTTATTTGCTAGGATATAAAAGCAAATCAAGAGTTATTTGCTACTTGCATGAGCCATCAATAATATTCTGGGTGAGTGACTATTTGCCAAGTTAAGTTAAACAGTATTATGAAAGTATCTCCTTTAAAATATGTATTTTTAAAGGACAAGAAAAAAGGCATATTTTGTAAAGTCTTTATCTGCTAATAGTGGCCTTAAAAGTGGACAGTTCTTTAAAATAAAAAAGTAAGTTTAACAATAATAAGAGTTCTGGTTTTCTTTGCTAATCTTCACATATTTAGTTTATATGACTCACAGAACACTTTACAGAGTTTCTTGGTTACTTTTGTCTTGTTGCAGAGATAAAATACCCAACACACCAAAGTAAGGAAGGAAAGGTTTATTTAGCTCTCAGTTTTTGGAAGTTTCAGTCCATAATCAGATCTCTCCAAAGCAGAGTGACATGCCACAGGGGCAACAGTTCAAGGTGGCAGAAGACAGCAAAAGCAGCAAGAGCAAAAGGGGAGAGAACAATCCTCTTTTCCTCCCTTATATTGTGTGTGGGCTACCCACTTACACCCACACCATCTCTCTGCCCTCCTCTTCTGCAAGCTGAGGATGTTTACAAAGTAAGGACCCTGGCTCCCTGCTGAATCATGGAATTGAACTATTAAACTTCTCAAATGGACACAATGAACAAGACCCTAGGGGGGTAAGGGCATGTAGTTTTTACCCCAAAATGTAGAATTGCTGGGTTAGTTAAGCTTTTAAACTCTTCAAGTTGACACAATGTATCAACCATAACCCACAGGAAAAAATATGACCCAGAAAAGGGAATTAAATTAGGAGAACCCTGTCATGGCTTGCGTTAGCCTTCCTGGACTGTTTTCAGGAATATTTTAGTCCTTGCTATGGGTGTCATAACACAAATTTACGTTCTCACAGTCCTAGAGGGTACACATCAAAGTTCAAGGTATTAGCATGGATTTGTCTTTTGAAACTCTTTCCTGGAGTACGGAAGGCTGCTGTCTCCCTACATCTTTACATAATCCTCCTTTTGGGTGTGTGTCTGTGTCAAAGACAAAGACAGTAACTAGAAAACTAAAAGACAAATGTGATTCATCCTGTTCAAGGGAATCTCAATATGTCTAACAGATGATTTTGCACCAGGAGCTATGAAGGTTGAAAGGCAGTGGGATCACATTAAAATTATGAAGAAAAAAAAGAATGATTACAAAATGCAACTGTATGCCAACAAATAGACAGCTTAAATGATATGAACAAATCCTTATACAGCACAAGTTATCAAAATTCTCACCATAACCTCTAAGTCCTGTATGACCTCATCCTTCCCTACCAGCCTCCTCTCTCATGATGCTCCCTTAATTTACTGTATGTATCTCAATTGCCCTGGTTCTCATTCAGTTCCTGCGTCAGGTACTACACAGTGCTCTACACCATTAACTTTTTGATTATTTCTTTATTCTTGATTCACTAGTAATAAGAAACTATTCAGTAAGATAACACTAATTTCTCTAATAAACAAAATTTCTTTGACAACATCTTTCCTGAAAATTCTTGGTTGACCACTTCATTGGCTTCCTATCTAGATTTTAGTCACTTCCATGAACTAGTGACCATACCCCAAATTCTTTCCGAAATGAAATTCTCATGTGGGTCATTGCCTCCTAGCTCCCAGTTAATCTCTCTTAAATAAATAGAAGAAATCTATTTATACCTTTCACTCAAGCTTTACCCCAAGGCTCCAAAGGAGCCACTACCATACAAAGCCTCTTTAGATTTTATATATTACATTTAGGATCTTGAAGTAGGGCTTTTAAGAGGATCCAAAATTCTTAATATTATCTTACTGCATATGGACTGTCTGTTTATTTCTGCATTATCTTTGTGTTCTAGCAATATCTTTATAAAAGGTAGAAATGAAAACTAGTTTATATAATTAATCTAAGTTTTTCTAATTACATCCATTCAAACAAAGTGTGTCAGACCCAGTACCAATGACATTTTTAGATCAGACAAACATATATCAGCTGGTGTCAATCTTGTGCATTGTAAGATGCTTATCTTATGCTTGTCTTCCACCCATTAGGTGACTGTGATGGCATGCCGACCATGTGTAGTAAAAAAGATGTCTCCAAACATTACCCAATATTCCCTGAGGTACAAGGTCATCCCATTTAAGGACCAAAATGATATACACAACAGGCATACCTTTGCCTTCCAGCTCTCAGAGGCAAATATTTGGCCCAACTCACAGCACAGACCTACACTTTGGTTCCTGGCCACCTAACACATTACTGATAGGTCAGTGTCTCCTGTTTTAAGTGTTCAGCATAGAAGGCTTGGCATTTCAATCTTCTAGGAATAGTAACTTCAAAACTATTTTCTATATTAGTTTTAGTAATTCTAGCTTCAGAATACACAAATAACAGCATGACTGTGTCTAAACCCAATATGAATTAATTTTCTACCTGTAGCAGTCAAGTGCCAGTGTTGGATAGGTGGTCTTCTGTGTGGAAATTCAGAGACTCAGGCTGCTTAAATGTGAGACTTGGTCATTTTCAACATATAGCTTCAAGGTTCATCATATTCATCTGTTTCAAACCATACAAGAACAGAGTTTTGTGAGCTACTTGAGAAATGGTATTTCCATTTCTCAATTTCAATGGAATTATTCCCACTCACATTGTATTGATTGCACTTCCATTATATTACTGCATTCAACTGATGAAAATTAGACTATTTCTGTTCCTAGGAGTAGAAGGAAATAAGTTTGACAATCAGCCCTCAATGTCTGGTTTTACTTGTTATAGTCTCTCATTGTTCCTAGCATATTTTTTAATTTATTTATTGCCGTTATAATACAATCATGATTTGAAGAACTATTGATTTATAATCATCTTGACTCTAGGGCAATACACTTCAAAAAACACCCAAACTAAAGGCATTGTATCCAATGCTACATTTCCAGAAGCTAGAAAAGTTATTGGCTTTTGGCCTTCTCTCAATAAACATGACTTTAATGAATTAGTTAAAGAGGGAATAAATGGATAAGCACATGATTTAAGAGATCTGATCTTTGATGGAGACACAGTCTAGCAAGTCTTTACAATGTCAAATTATTCTTTGCCAGGCACGGACTCAGACATTGGTCAATAAGAGATCCTGACTGCTGTCACTGCAGACCACTGGACTCTCCTAGAGCATGAGAGGAGTTGTGGTTGCAAGCTAGTGAAACACAGACTTCAGGATGCAGCCCAGAGATTCACTCCCAGCATGCGAGCTCATGCTTTCCTGCTTGACTAGTGCTCCTGCAGCCGGCTCTGCCCTTCTCCCTCATGGTGAAGAGGGGCGATTTATATGACTGCGTAGGCCCAGCTTCTCCCAATTGAGTTATTTTTCAGACTCCTTCCACCTATGTGCAGTGGTGAATTCACATGTCAGTTTGATTGATTCATGATGTCCAGAAATTGCTTCCCAGAGACATTATGCTGGGATGTCTCTGGGAGGGTATTTTGGGGTGAGATTAACATTTAAATGGATGAGATTGAAGTAAATAAATCTCCCACCATAATGTGGGTGAGACTCATGCAATCAGACAATGGCTTGAGTAGAACACGAAACTGAGCTTTCCTAAGCAAAAGAAGATGCTGTGGCAGATGGCTTTAGAACTTGAACCACAGGATTGACTCTTTGGGTCTCTGGTCTACCAGCCTCCTCTGCAGTTTTTGCACTTGCTAACCTCCATAATCATGTAAGACAATTCTTTAAAATAGACTTCTGTGTACACACACACACATACACACACACACAGGCATGAGCACACACACAGGCATGAGCACACACACACATACACAGGCATGAGCACATACACACACACACACACACACACACACACACACACATACACATGCTATTGATTCTGTGTTACTGGGGAATCCTGACTAATACCCTGCTCATATACATATACAGTATTGATTTCAGGCTTTGCTATAAATAACAGCACTGTTCCTAAGCTTTTCATGTTTGTATAAAGCTGTATTCACATTTAGAATAAACAGAGTTCTTTAAATCTGTAAGAATTAAAGGATTTAAATAAGGACATAGCTACTTTCCCACAACCCTGATGATATTCAGTGTATTGCAGGTGCAGATGCCTTCAGAGGTGTCTGCTCAGGTCCAAGCTTGGCCAGTAGGATGCAAGGGGCCTCAGCTTTTCCTCCCATAGCCATGCTGTGCAGAGTCTGAAGGTAAAGCAAACTCACCAGCCTGCTGCTTACCAGTCCTGCAACTTCCAGGGCTCGGATCCTTCATCTATAAAATGGGGATAAGGATAATACCTATATCAAACTGTGGTCATATTGATTATATGATATTATGAACATAGAGAATTTATCAGAATACACAGCCAAAGGATGATGCCACAAACATTAACTATTAATACCTACTACTGCGTCCTGGAGAGGTACCCACGTCAATAAGGATACCCATGGAAACTGTCCTTAAACAAAGGGTAAGAATAAAAACTACACTTCCATGGTTGGGCAGAAGAAAAGGTGAAGGACACTGGAGAATCAAACAAATTGGGAACCAAGTACCACGGGAAAGTAAGTTCTGAAAACAGAGGAGTGTTATCTGAGGGGTCTGGTATTTGTATTCACAATGTTTTATTTGAGCAAACCAGTTTATTATCTACAGAGACAAATCAGTTTATCTAAAGAGACAAGGGCCGGACAGAGTGTAATGTGCTCCATCAACTTCTAACAGTAATGTCTAGATCCAAGAAATCATGTACTAATACCAATTCTGGAGCCTACACAGCCTCCAGAAAAAAGCTTCCTCCTGCTCAGTTAGTCAGTTTCTCATCAAACAGTTGATGACCATGTTCATTTCACCAATTTATTGTTTCACATTTATAGCACCAGGGTTCTACCAGGAAACACATGGAAAATTAAGGCAAGTTTAAGAAAAGAATCACTTGCAGAGTTGTGAACAGCATATGGGAAAACACCAAGCAGCCTCGCGTTACCCCAAGGCAAGTGACCCAGGACCACCGGGGGCCTGAAAAGATAAGACATAGCCAGAAGGGAAAAGAAGACACAGCGGGTTGGATGGGAGAGGAAGCTGACCCAGTGAAGGCCTTTACTGCAGGAGAAACACTAAGCCCTAAGACCCAGAGGGAAGCAGAGCAGTAGTACGGTAATTCTATTCTTCCCTCCTGCTGGACTCATGTAAATTCCACTGAATCTAACTAAAGGACAAGGAAAAAGGAGCCTAAGGTCAACTCTGAGGTTCAGAACAGAGTTGAAAAGTAGAGAGTCCACCTGGAAGAGCCAGAGGCATTACCTAGGCATCACAGATGCACCAGCTGCTGGCCCTGCTCCAGAAGGGAAGCTCCTTACAACTGTTCCAGAATGGAGTAAGTCCACACTTTGCTCTCCCTGACAGACTCATCCTCCTCACACATCCATACACCCAACTTAATCTCCTCTAGAAGAAATCTTTCTGCAGCATGCACACCGCTGTTTGGGTTTTTCTTTCCCAACTAGAAATAGCCCATGAGGAAACCTATCCTCCAGGCCTGGGTAAACCCTGAGACGTCAGAGCTGGCTGGAAATGTCCACGCTAGGACCTCCACGCGGGAACCTCTGTGACAATAGATGTACAGTACTTGGCACCAAAGAGTGGTTGCAGCGGAATCTTCCTTTGATGAATGAGGCGGATCAGGGTCCTGTAAGGCTTCAGGCCAGGACTCTGAATGTAAATAGTCATTGTGAAAAACTGTATGAACTGCAATTCTGTTTGATTCAGAGGCCGACTATCTGTAACCTGGGTGAATAGCATTTCTTCATGTTTCATGTTCAGTTTCTGAAGACTTAAAAAAGAAAAAGGTTTATTCTTTTGTGAGCCAACCTTGAAATTCCTAGTCGTCACAACTAGCCAAGATCCAAGATGGAAACTGAGAACAAAGAAAAGAAATTGTTTTCATAAGTCAAAATTCAGCAGCAACAGATACTTTGAGGGGGGTGGAAAACATTTCAGACTGGATTTACAACTCGAGCTATCCTGGTTAACTGACATCACCACCCAAATGTACTTTGGGCTTTGAAAAGTTTTGACATTCATCTTCCTAAATGAATACAATTCTACGCTTCCTTGAACATTTCTAAGTCTTCTCTCCACTGCTATTAAACTGAACTGAAATTCTATACCATGCTGGAAATCCAAAAGTCAAGTCTGAAGAATCGCCTTGAAGCCATTAATTACCAAACACAACTCAAAGCAAAGCAAAGAGTCCTATTTATAGATAAACAAAGAACTCACAGGGTGGCCCAGGTTATTTTCTTGGGACCATGTTGGAAGGCAGTGTCTCTTGGGAGGTGAGGCTGGCACCAGACAGGAAAGGTATGTTCACTCTCACGGCCTCCGGTCTCCTTGGATGCTTTTATCCACCCAGCCACGTCTCCTGATCACCATTTCATCATAGCTGAAATGTTCCTGGGCAGGCAAGCTTCCTTGTGTATTTGTCTTCCCAGTCAATATGTGAATAAAGGTTTGGTGTTAAAAACCCCAAAGTCCAGCTTTAAGGAGAATCTGCCATGATGGAAATGTCAGGCCTGGATAAAAAATCAGGGACTTTGTTCAACCTGGACACTAGCAACAAATGTGACATTGACAGAGGCATTTTATCTCTTTGGCCTCAGCTTTTCGTTCTGTAATGCAAGGGTATGGAATCGGGACCGTGATTTCCAAGTTATCTTATCCACTTCCATTCCAATGGGACGTGCCACGGAAGCCTAATGCGCGGAGCAGAACAACAGTGACCCGCTCCGGCTTAAAGGGACTGTGATTCCACCCACACTCTGCCTCGGCCGTCCCAGTTCCTCATTTCTCTTCACTCCACTGAGCATTCAGAGCGTGAACTTCAGCTCATGCATGCGCCTCATGATCGCTGGAGTTACTAAAAAGCAAGACCCTGCGCCCAACTCTAAAATCTACCAAATGAGCCCCTGTGGAGGAGAGGCTCAGGAATCTGCACTTGGACAAGCATTACAGTTGAATCACATACGCATCAGCATTTGACTATAGCAAAACTCTTTGAAAAGCACCAGGCCAGATATTTCTGAAGTCTCTTTGGACTCCAACATTCTATTAATGGTTCTTAATATTTATGACTTCCAAAGGTCCTCTGAGATGCAGGGAAAGCAATTAACCTTATCCCTAGGAGAAATGCAATCATACACACACACATGCATGCATGCATACACACACATGCATGCACATACACACGTGCACTCACAAAAACATAAAGGAAAAAGGAAAAAGAGAATAGAAGGAATAAGTGGAAACAAAGCTTTTGTAAATGAGGGGAAGAGGGGTCCAAGGGATGGGAATGGGAAAAAAAGAAGAATCAAGACATATGAGGGTGTTCCCTATGATGGGTGTTATTACTATGTATCTCTAAAATGTACCAATAAAATGTACCAAAAATAATTTTAAAACATAAATGAATTTTTCCGAGTATCTCGGCAAATTTGTGCAACTGGTCATATACTTTTGTGATGTCCACCCACGGACACCCCCAAGTCCATAGTTACAACCTTTACCAAACTTATGACTTAGTGATGTCTGAGTGAGTGTGGGATGTGTTAGAGAAGGTCTTCCTGGGAGTAAATATCAGTGTCTTGCATGATAACATTGCATTAAACCGAAGGTTGCCTCTAACATATGATCTCTAACCCAATATTTGAACTGTCCACAGTACTGATCCTCCTCTTGTTTTTCTTAATGACCATGATAGTGTTAGGCTGAACTTTCCCCAAATGTGACTGCAGAGATGATGATGAAATGGCTGGACCACAGACGTAAGGCCTGTTCAGTCCCTCAGATGGCTCATTTCTCAAATTATGTCCACAGCTTTCCTGACCAAGGGACAAGAGGGTCACGTCTCCCAAGAGCAATGACGCGGCAACCTCCTGGCTGGAAAACCAGACATTCTCTTCAGGGGATCCAGGAGGAAGCTCAGAACTGGATTCCCGCTTGTAAAACAATAAAACGCTGTGGTGGCGCCGGGCACCCCCTAAGGCGCTGCTGCATAACTCCTTGTGGACCACAGCAAGGACCAGGAGGTCTCTTCCCAATTTGGCTTTCATGGGCCGGGGATATAGCTCAGTGGCATCGTGCCTGCCTGACAAGAGCAAGGTCCTGAGTTTAGTTCTCAGTTAAAGAAACAAAAAACAAAACACCAAGTTCGCCTTCATTTGTCACAGTTCCACCCAGAACAGGGACTCGCACCCGAGAGGGGAGGTCCTGCACCGTCGAGAAGCTTTCTCTCCTCCTTCCTCTTCTTTTCCTTTCTCCTGCAGCGCGGTCATCTTGGCTTCTCTTCTGCAGTGGGCCACACAGCAAAAGACCCTCTCAAGTCAGCTCCACACTATCACTCCCAGTCAACAGGAAGCCACTTCACTACATGAACATTAACTCAACGTTCGCTTTTCATCCTGCCACTAAGAGGAGTGGGGACTATGTTTGTGTTTGCGAATTTTCCACGTGGGCTGAGTAGAGATTGCTTGCTCAAGCTTGAGGCTTGGAGAAGAAAGCGACAACAAAGCCCAGGCCTCATCTCGCCCTCTGGAGCTGTCGGAAGAGCCAGCGTCCCAGCGCAGCTGGCACTGTGGTTGAGAAACCACCTGCGTCTCATTGCTGAGAAATTTCCCCACAGCCTTACGACTGTCAGCCGCCGTGGCAGGCAGTTTCCTTTTGCCTTTCGTTCACCATTCTCTGCCAAAGTAAATGCTGACGGCAGTTGGGAATGGAAAGGGTAGGGGGGAGGGGAGAGGCAGAGGGGGAGCTGTGCTGGGAACAAGGGAGGTTGCTGGAAAGGGACTGGAGTCCTTATCTGCCACGAGCTCCAGGCGCCTCTCACCACCCAGAGAGCCTGCACCAACAGCAAAATTATTTTAACGGTAAACAGGGAAGAAGAAAAGCAGCGGTTATCCGGGGACCCAGGGTGGATGCCCGCCTCCTGTCATAGAAAAAATGTTAGGATTACTTCTTTGTAGGTAAATCGTGGCTCAGAACACTGGGAAGAAATGTATTTGAAACTAAAAATTAAAATGCAGAAGCCAGAAGGCTTAAAATAAAAACCTACCTTTCATAATCTCAAGAAAAATAAATACCTGGGAGTGACTCCCTCAGCTGAATGATGTCCAGACTGAGGATGCTGGTGTGGATGGCAGATGAGGGGGATCCTGAGGTTCTGGGTGTGGCTCGCCAGGTCAAGGGGATGTGGGATCTGACGCAATCCTCCTCATAC